TGGCTAATCGGATTGTTGGTAGCCCTATAAAATGGACAAAAATGGCTAATCGGACTGTTGGTAGCCCTATAAAATGGACAAAAATGGCTAATAGGACTGTTGGTAGCCCTATAAAATGTACAAAAATGGCTAATCGAACTGTTGGTAGCCCTACAAAATGGACCAAAATGGCTAATCAGACTGTTGGTAGCCCTATAAAATGGACCAAAATGGCTAATCGGACTGTTGGTAGCCATATAAAATGCACAAAAATGGCGCTATTTATTGACTGAACTTCAGTTAATTGACGTAGACAGTTATGAAACTTTTCTGTTACGAACAACCAATATGAACGGGCAGAATTCATTACTGAACATGGAAACTGTCATCAGGCAGACAAAAGCAACAGATCAATACGAGTTTTAAACCGTTGTATAATTTTTGATCTTGTTCCCACTTTTCCCAGTCCACCACTGCAGCTGTTTCATGTCGATTTAAATTATACTACGTTGTTGTTTGTTTTAGAATTTCGCACAAAACTACAATAGGGCCATTTGCGGAATAGTCGTCCCTAATTTTGAACCGATAGACTGGAGGAAAGACAGCTTAATCAATAGTACTCACCGCCAGCTCTTGTGCTACTCTTTGTCTTATCGAATAATAGGATCTGCCTATCTCTCTTGCAGGGCACACGAGGTTCAAATCAGCAAAACGCATTTTGAAGGCATCGGGTTGTAAACAATGAATCCACAGACTTACAGTTAGGAGATGCTAACCACGTTAAGACTTATTCTGCTTTTGAAAAGTATTGTTTTGAGAAATTCAAGAAATGTGTATCAAGTTTGTTTGTTGCTCAGCAAAGAGTTACACATGGACTATTTCTGCTGTGCCACCACGGTTGTCGAAAAACTACATTTAGCGTCATGAGACGAGATACTTTCCGTTGACCCCACTAGGGGGCATATCAAGTTGGTGTATTAAACTTTTTGTTTTAGTCAGTAGCGTCTGAACGAGAGACAAGAAAAAAATAGGTTTCGAGTTTAAGGGTGAGTCGCGGGATCAACTCCCGTCATCGAACATGCTCACCCTTTCAGCCGTAGGGGCGTTATAATGTAACGATCAATTCCACTATTCGATAGTAAAAGAGTAGCCCAAGAGTTGGCGGTGAGTGGTGATGACTAGCTGTCTTCCCTCTAGTTTATCATTGCTAAATTAGAGTTTGTTTTGTTTTGAATTTCGCGCAAAGCTACACGAGGGCTATCGGCGCTAGCCGTCCCTAATTTAGCA